GCCCAGACTCAGCCCGCCCCGCCCAGCTCCTACTTGGCTCAGGTTCATCCCACCCGCGGAGGCCACTGTGAGGGCGCCGGTTTGAGGTCAAAGGAGTTCGCTCCTACACCTGCTCTTGCCATATGTCAGGGATCCAGCAGCGGTTAAGTGGTTGGTAGTGTGGTTGGTAGCATAGTGCCTAAGGCACTTGACTGCGAATCAGAAGGCTGGCAATTCAAACCCACCAGCCACTCCTCAGAAGGAAGATAGGGTAATCTACTTTCGTAGTGATACTGCCTCGGAAACCCAAGGAGGGGTTGCTATGAGTTGGTCCGACTCTACGGCACATAACAACAACAACATCCAAAAGGTTGGCAGTTCAATCCCACCAGCCGCTCTGCAGGACAAAGATACGGCAGTCTGCTTTTATAAAGATGACAGCCTTGGAAACCCCATAGGATGGTTCTGTGCCCTGTAGGGTGGCTACAATTTGGAATCAACTTGAAGACAGTGGGTTACAGTAAAATACACAGGATGACCCTTAGGGCCCATGGACCCCAGGTTCCAACCCCTGTGGGTCCTGCCACTTCTGAGGGAGGGCGTCCCCATGGAATCTCAACTTCCTCATCTGCAGGATGGACATACTGAGATCACAGTAGCCTATCAGGGCTCACAGCTAGATAAGACTTGAAGATTAAATAAGAGCAAGAGGCAAAGTCATGATGAAGCTGAAATTCTGTACGGGCCCTGGGCTGAGGCCCAGCGGGGTGGGCAGGAGCAGCAGCCAGGGTTCTCAGCATGGCTGTCTCCCTCCCCACAGCCCCCCAAGGATGACGCAGCCATCGTAGGGGCCGTGAGGCTCTTCTCTGTGCTGATTGCTGCCTTCACCATGGACCTGGCAGGCCGCAAGGTCCTGCTCTTCGTCTCAGGTGAGGCCCCCTCCCACCCTCCCTCTACATCCATCCAGCATTTCTGTGTGCCTGGACTGGGTGTGCAGCACCCCTCGCCTTGGGTTGGGCCTGCCCCTGGCTTCCACTGCATGCTGGGGGCTCTGGAGGGCTCCAGGCATACCCATTTTGTTGGCCTTGCCCACCTAGTGCCAGGTACAGGACCTGACACACACCAGCTCTCCAGAAAGGTCTGCTGGAGCCTGCTCTGCATGCAGACCTACCTAGGGTGCTCCAGTGAGTGCTGGAAGCCCATGCTCTCTGCAAAGGGTCTCCCAGCACATTGGGCTGCCCTGTCCCTTGCATTGGGCCTGGTGTAAAGTGATGGGTGGGATGCTCTGAGAGGATCTTCCTGTGGGAGGTGCCACTCATGGGCCCTGGCCCCATGAGGGCCACCTATGTCCCCAGCATCCATCATGTTTGCTGCCAACCTGACGCTGGGACTATACATCCACTTGGGCCCGAGGCCGCTGACCCCTAATGGCACCATGGGCCTTGAAAGCATGCCCCTGGCGGGTACCGAGCAGCCCCTGGCTTCCACCACCAACTACCTCACCCTGGTGCCACTACTAGCCACCATGTTCTTCATCATGGGTAGGTGTGGCAGCGACTCCCCTGGATGGGGGCAGGTCAGTGAGGGGGCTGGTCTGTGTCCTGCTGGGGAGTGGAGGTGCACACAGAATCTGTATAGGCCTGGTGGGTGGGGTATGGTCCCCCTGGGGTATATCCATTGTTAAGGCTGAGGGTCTCTTCAGAGCTCAGCTGTGCCAGAGGCACCACCTCTGAAGGCCCCAGCCTCACTGTCCCTCTCTGCAGGATATGCCATGGGCTGGGGGCCCATCACTTGGCTCCTCATGTCAGAGATCCTGCCTCTGCGTGCACGTGGCGTGGCCTCGGGACTATGTGTGCTGGCTAGCTGGCTCACAGCTTTCGCCCTCACCAAGTCCTTCCTGCCTGTGGTGGTGAGTGCTCACCATGATCCTCCATCTCATTTGGTCCCCACACTGTCTATGACACATCAGCCCCACCCCTACCTAAGGCTGAGCAGTTAAGATAGCCAGCCTAGCACGGGTGCCTCGTTACAAGAATTGACCAGAACAACTGTCCCCAGAAGTCACATCACTGCCCAGGGCTGGGAGGGAGGGGTGACCCAGAGGACCCCAACAGCCACCACCCTTTCCCTGGCAATGAGTGGGGTCTGCAGTGGGACCCTGTATCAGTGTCCACTGCTATACCAGCCCACAGTATGCTGGCATGAGTTCCTACGCACACACAGACACACATACACATACCTCCCTGTGGCTTAACTCCACTTCCAGGTTCAAACCCCTAATAGAAATCCTGAAATTGATTACAATCTTGGGAGTACCAATTCCAAATCCCCTAAGAATCCAGAGTGGCTTGGGTCCAGTCCCCACCACCAGTCAGTGTGTTGTGGCAGGAGAGCAGACATTCCATAAAGTGGGTAGGTCAGCTAGGAAGCAGGGAATGGGGTGGGTCAGCGGGTGGCCTCACATGAGTGAGCACCTAGCCAGGCTATGGCAGCTGGACCCCTGCAGGCAAGGTACTGGGTGGATGAGCATTGGGGCAAGGGGGGGGGGGGCTGAACTTGGAGCCCTTTGGCAGAAAGGAGACCCCAGCCCTTCACTGAGCAAGCTCTTGGATATGCTCCAGGAGACTGTGGGGAGCTCTAGGAGGTCTCTGACCTGGGGAGTGACCAGGCAAAGGCCCCATAAGGCTGGCCACTGTGAGCCAAGTCCACAGAACTTGACTGGGGCAGGGGCACCCCCAGGTTCACTGGGTGACCTGGCTTGTCCCCTGCCCCCAGAACGCCTTCGGCCTGCAGGTGCCTTTCTTCTTCTTTGCCGCCATCTGCCTGGTGAACCTGGTGTTCACAGGCTGCTGTGTGCCGGAGACAAAGGGCCGGTCGCTGGAACAGATCGAGTCCTTCTTCCACACCCGGAGGTGGTCCTTCCTTCGATAGATCAAGTGCCCACCTGGGAGGGGCAACAGTGGCCAGCCTCAGCATCGGCTGCAACCTGCACCCAGGACCAGGAAGCTGCAGCAGCACCTGCTACAGCTAGAACAAAGGAGGACCAGCAGGAATACCCAGGGTCCCCTCCGAACTACTTTCTGGCCAGGCAGGCAGAACCACTGTCCAGCCTCAGATCCCAGCATAGGTGGCCATGACAGACACCAGGCAAGACTGTGGAGAGGCAGCAGCCATGGACACAGATCACCTGCTGGTGCCCAGGGACAAGGCCCTCTGGTTGACTCTGGGCCTCTTCCTTCCTCCTCATGGAGACCACTCCCTCTCCCAGCCTCAAGTCCAGGCCGCTGAGGACTGAGGGAGCACAGGACTGGAGGAAATGTGGCTACAGTATCACATTGCCCTAGTTCTTGGCAGTTGCCACCACCAAGTATCTCAGCTGTGGGGAGGATAGCAAGGGTATATACCCATGAAGGGACACCACAGTAGTGCTCCGGTCTACCAAAGGCCAGCCTATATTCGACCCAGGCATAGCCACTTCCTCCTGCACCAGCCTGGCCTCTGGGCCCAAGGGCTCCTGTTTGCAAACTGTGTTCACCCCATTTGTACAAATAAAGAAGCTGAGCTCAAGGATAGCCCTCAGGAGGAAGGAGGGGTGTATCTTCCAGGTGACGGTGCTGCTGCAGCCTTGACAGCTGGGCTAGGTCCAGACACTCCCACCATGGTCACTAGGGCCTATGGCCCTTCCAGCAAGGCCCCTTTATGGGCTCAGTAAAGCAGAGAGGGAGGCTGCCTATGTTGGAAATATAGGGGGTCATACACAGGGTCAGAACCACCCTGGACTCTGGCTCTAGCTCACTCACTGTGTGGCCACTTTGTACCCAAGCCTGCTTCCTACAAGAGATGCCCAGAGCACACTGGGTTGGCATCTGCAGCATCACTACCATGTCCACTCAGAGGCAGGGCGTGGGGATCACATATGCTTGGAGGCAGGGGATGGTGTGTGTGTGCCAGGTGACAGCCCAAGCCAGCCATCAGCAGCATGGGGCAGCCCCTAGCCCTCTTTCTCACTCTGGGCACACAGGCAGCAGCAGTGCAGCAAGTGGACAGACTAGAGCCTCCTTTATTGCTCAGAACACGACCAGACACAGAGAGCATGGGAAGTAGACGAGTTCAGGGCGGAGTGCAGACACAGGCAGGCCTCATGGTGTTAAAGGCTGGGTGCTGCTGTGGAGGCCACCCGTGCTGAGAAGTAGGGGCTGTGGGCTCAGGGGTCCAGCTGCCCTGCATTAAACCTGGGGAAAGGGGCTGAACCATCTGGCCTGTGTCTTTGGCCTATGGGTCGTAGTGCTGAGGGCTCTTCCCCCTCAGTGCCCTACTCTGTGGTTTGCCTAGCACCCACCCACCTGCCCCACAGTGGAGAAGTACAATCTTCCTGATCTACCCTTTGGGCAAAGATGGGGGGCTGGAGAAGAGAGGGCAGACAGAAGGGTGGGCAGGGCCTGAGCACCTTCAGGAGGTAGACAGGTCTTATTCACTGCACACATGGGAGCAGACACACCACACACCACACCACACCACACCACACCACACACACACACACACACACACACACACACGGCCGAGAGCCCATAGCCCTTGAAGCCAGCACTGGCCTGAGGAAGGTGGACCCAGAGGACCCCAGAAGGCACGTGTCCTGCTAGGCCAATTGAATCTGCCCCCACCACCCTGGGGCTCAGCCTAGTTGGGCAGAGGGGGAGGGTGGTGAAGATGCTGACCCAGACACCCACTGGTGCTTCCCCAGCCCAACCATGCTGGGCAAGCCCCCAGTGAGGCACCACTTCCAACTGGACCTCAAATGCCAGCTTCCCCTCACCCCTTCTTGGAAACACAGCCTGGGGCACAGTCGGGCTTAGAGCCAGAGGACACGAGGGAGCTGGGCCCACTCTGTCTACTTGCCTGTGCTCCTCCAGGCTCCACAGACAGGCCCCTAACCGCAGACCAGTCTAGAACCTGAGCAGCCTGGGTCTGAGGTCAGGGTGGAGAGAGGAGACTGTGGCTGTGGAGGAAGGCAGGGATGCTGAGGTGCTGCTGGTGTCAGCCTGCCCAGCCTGCAGCACAGGCCCTGCTCCTGGTAGCTGGCACCAGGCAGTGAGCTCATCTCAGTGGGAGGCAGCTTAGTCTCTGCCTGGTTCCCAAGGCAAAGCCTCAAGAGAGGGCAGGGCTGACAGCAGGCTAAGACGGGTACCTGAGTAGGTCAGCCTGGCCCCGGCTGAGGGCTTGGATAGGTCATGCTGATGTGGGCATTCCAATGGGGGAGAGAGCCTACTCTCCCTGTGCCAAGCACCAAGGCCTGAGGTGGGGGGCAGAGCTAGGTCCAAGGTTCCAGGAACCCTGCTGTCAGGTCACTCTCCAGGCTGCTCATTGGTAGGGATGCATTTGTGGCCCCACAGATGGCTGGCAACCCAAGGCAGCAGGGAAGGGCAGCTGCAGAACCATACCTCCTGCCCATAAGATAGATGCCATTATCAGATGCCCAACAGGGCTGCTCCCGCTATGGGGGGTCTATAAGTCCACCCAGTGCCCACTCCAGGCTGAGCCAGACTGGCTGGGAAGAGGGCCCACCAGCTTTCCATGGCTGTGTGGCTTTCGCATCTTCCAGTCCTGTGGCCTGGGCCGCCCAAAGTCCATTCCACATGCTGCTGCCACCATGGTACCCTGGCTGCTCAGAGCCCTGCCTGGCTCCTTGACCTTTGGCAGAGTCATCACCAGAAGACATCCAGCTGGAGAAAGGGGCCACTGGAGGAGGACTCCAGGTGTGAGGGACGAGCACAGAGGGCTGTAGGGGGCACGGGAAGGCTCCTCTTTTAGGCTGTCCCCAGAGTCACCACTCCAGGCCCGTCCCTCTGGGATGTCACACAGAACCAGGGGGTAGCTGCAAGGGAGAAAGGTATCTGACTACATCATAGCTCCCCCTCCAGGGTCTCCGTGAGCTTCTCTTCATCTGCCTGCTGCTTCTGCTGCTGGATCCTGGCATAGGAGATGGCATCGCCCCTAGGAGAGAGCAAGGTGCCATCACACCAGGGTCAGGCTCCAGGCTCCAGCCCCCACCCAATTCCTGACAGTGACCCAAATGTGGCCTGCACTCAGGGCATATGAGGCCTCTGAGTCTCCCAGAGCTATATCACTCTGAAGGAGGGGCACTGGCTGCCTGGGTTGCTGTAGAAAGATTCAGAGTCACAGCTTGGGCTCTGCAGGAGAGAAGTGTGGCAGATGACTGTGACCTGGGGTGGGCCCTAAATGAGAGGCTCTCTAGTCCCAGCTATAGGATGTGATGGGGCAAGGCTGGGCCACCCAGGAAGCCTCGCGGAGCCTCCTGCTCTCGCTCCCCAGAGCTGGACCCCCTGGAGAGACTCCTGAGGGTCACTGACAGCCTTGGTGCCTCGGTTTCCGCATCTGTACAACAGCACCACTCTCAAACCCCCTTTGCCGAGAGCCTCGAGGTAGTGGGAAGCCAAGACCCCTTCTGAGGGCCGGGCCCACTGGACGCACTTTTTGCCCAGAGCAGAGAGTCCGTACAGCACTCCAGTGGCGAAGGCGACAGCGTTCCCCAGCAGGGTGGTCAGTGTCAGACTGATGATGATGGGAACAACAGCCATCCTGTGGAGAAAGGCAGGCCCCACTCTCACCCACAGCTGGCCCCTATGCCCAGTGCCCAGGCACCCCAGCCCCCATTCAGGTAGCCAAGGACAGGATGGATCCATCAAAATTAAAAGACACAAGTTCATAGCCAGGCTCAGAGAGCCCTTAAACACCCTGCACTGGTCTACAAGAGTCTGCATCTTCTGGGGAGGATGCAGAGCTTTCCTCTGGTTTCTGAAAGGGTCTGGGATCCAAAAAGGGAAACAGCACTGAGGCGGTCTAATGCCTGTCCCGTTCAAACAGGCTAAGCACCACCCAAAGAGAGGCTGTGACCAGAGAACCGAAGGTCTAATTGAACTTCTGGCTAGCTTTGTATTACTTCCCTGAGGTTCAGTGTCTCACTATAAAATGGAGATCAGACTTCATGGAGAGGTTGGGAGATTAAATGAGGGGAAGCATGTTAACGCTTCATACAATGCCTGCAACGTTACATGCGCTAAATAAATGTCAGCTCTTGTTAGGAGCCCTGGTGATACAATGGTTAAGCACTTGGCTGATAACCGAAAGGTCGGTGGTTTGAACCCACCAGATGCTCCACAGGAAAAAGATGAAGTCACCTGCTTCTAGAAGGATTATAGCCTGGAAACCCTATGGGGCATTTCTACTCTGCCCTATAGAGTGACTATGAGTCAGAATTGGACTCGACAGCAGTGGTTTTTGCTTTTGTTTTGTTAGGGACAGTAAAGCCAGTCGTACCTCAACAAGTAAACTCCCTAGAATTAAAGTACATAAAACATGGGGTCTTGTTACTGCAAGGTCATCTGTCTGGTCCTAATTACAGTTTGGTGCCACGTGGTGGCAGTGCCCATTCTGGCTTATATATCCATGGGGATGACTCTTGATCCCATAGCTGGCTGGGACTTCCAGGCCAGCAACAGCAATTCCTGGAGTTACTGAGTCAGAAAAATACTGGAGACTTGAGGACCAACAACAGTCTGTCTTGCTCTTCTCTAGAAGAGGTTGCCTGTGCTTTCCCTGCCAGGCCTCAGCAGAGCTGTGCACCCTCCTAACATCTGCATTTGTTAGCTAAGAGCTTAGCACACTAGGCAAGTGCTCTAGAACTGACCACACATCTTTGTGTTCTTACTGTCAGAACTGCTGGACCTCCATGAAGGGAAGGGACCCTTTGGTCTGTATTTACTTCTAAAGGTAATCTAGATAATAATGACTATAGCCTCTGCTGCTACCACCAGACAGCTGCCGAGGACCCCATGCACCAGGGACAGTTCTGAGGACTTTCATGCATTAAATCTGTCCTGAAATAGTTCAGTCTTCATGATGTGAAGCCTCTATATGGAATTCATTGTCAGGAATGTGAAAATGGAAAAAAAAGAGCCATTTGGAGGCAACAAGTTTCTGTTCTACAACCTGCTTTTGCCCTTTCATGAAGACACCTGTATTCACCAAGCTCTTCTGAACAACTGCACAGAAACACATCATATAGTTTGACTAAAGTCTGGCAAACCAGGCCACAGCTGACGGACCAACATTCCAGGTGTTTCCATTGTTCTCCATCACACCCTATGCTGCAGGGCACACATACCTCATGCGTCTTGAACTTGGGCATAACCATAGCAATAGGCTACGTTCTTGATGCCAAGCCGCTGCATCACGTTTGTAACAGCTATTCTCAGGTTGTTTGTGCCTGGTTTAAACCTCTCCCAGGAGGGTGTGAACATGCTTGTTCCCCACTCCTACCCACCCTCGCCAATACTATCTTTGCCCTTTGGGTCATTTCATAAGCAGAGTTTTGGGGAACTATGCCATGAGGCCCTGAAGGTTGAATACCCTAGGTATCCAAGGCCCTGCTCAGTGGCCACTCACCCACAGTAGAAGACAGCTTTCTGCCAGGAGCGCAGCCGGTCCATCTTCTCTGCCACCATGTTTGCAAACTCGACAAACTGGCAGCAGAAGGGTGCTTCACACAGCAACAGGATGAAGGCATTCATGCTGGAGGGGCAGGTGACAAAGCATGAGCGACTGAGGGAGTGAGAGGCACCTAGAAGGCCACCCACACTGAGGCCACAGTCCTTGGCCTCTGAAGTGTGTTGACTAGTGTACTCCCACAATGCATGTCTGCCTAGAGCCTGTGAACATGACCTCATTTGGAAATAGGGTCTTTGTAGATGTCACTAGTTAAGGATATCCAGATGATCACCCTGGATTTAGGGTGGCACTAAACAGTGACTAGTGTCCTTCTAAGAAGAGAGGACACAGAGCCAGACAAGAAGGTGATATGAAAGTGGAGGTAGAGCTTGGAGTGATGTGTCTAAAAGCCAGGGAACAGCAATGAATGCCAGCAAACACCAAAAGTTAGGACAGAGACTGGGGACAGCCTCTCCCTCAGAGCCACAAGAATGAATCTGCCGACACCTTGATTACAGTCATCCCAAGCCTGTACCCCTGCCTTCCAATGGGTCAGGGCTGCTGTGGCAGGAGGTGGCAAGGAGCCCACCTGCTGGTTCCTTGCTAGACTATGATGTGCCCCTCTGCAGCCTTCTCATCCTCTGGCTACAGCTCCCCTCCCTGTACAATTCATCCACCCCAACTCCAACCACCAGAAGGTCCCTCCCTCCACTCAGTCCTCAGTCAGGCTGACCTAGCACTGTCTACACTGTGGCCCTTGGACGCCCCAGAGGGCAAGGATCCACTTTAGAATCCAACTCAGAGGAAATACCCGAGAGCAGCTGGGGTGGGGTCCCCCAGCCCTGACCTCACTAGGAAAACCAGACACAGGGGTGTGAAGGAGGTGAGGACCCACACCACCAGGCACACCCCAGACCCCACCATGGCAGGATGGCCCCACAAGCTACTCACATCATCCACACTCCAGCTGCGATATTGAGGGGGTGGATGGTGATACAGTTGAAGAGACCAGAGATGACGCACGCTTGAAAGCAAGAGAGATGGGCAGGAATCAGCAGGGAGAGGGAGACCACAGCATGGCCACTGGGGGAGAGAGCCTCCCAGGAGATGCTGCCCAGGGAGCTACCACCCAGGGATACACCTGCCTGGGAAGCTGCCCACCCAGGGGCATGGCCTGGGGAGGGAGGGGAATCCACTTGAGTTGTCTCATGGCACCTAGCCTCCTCCCACTCTGGGCCACAAGCTCCCAGGCTGTGAGGGTATCTACCTGGCCCCGAGTCCCAGCTGTACCAAGGCTGCCCCACAAGGAGGTCAGCCTAAAAGCATGAAACAATGGCTCCAGGCAAGGGTTTGGTGTCCCCACCCCCAGGGCAGGTCATATCAGGATCCTCAAAATGCGGGTTTGGGTCGAGATGGGGCTGCTTCTCTTGGAACAGAAATCTGGTCCGGGTAAGACCTGGCCATCATTCCAGCTCTAACTTACATACAGTCCCATCATCCTTCTCTCCTACTTACAAGGCAGGTCCCCACAGCCAGCAGCCTACTGCTGAAACTCAGGGCAGGGAGGGGCAGGGAAGGCCAGGTTACCACCCTGGGAGTGATGTGTCCTTTTTTATCCTGAAAATGCCCCAAACATGGATGCTCCCGCTATGTCCACTCCCAACAGGCAGGGTCTGAAGTGCAGCCTCCACTCCCACCCACAGCCTGCAGCTGCTTCACCAAGAATGCAAAAGCAAAAGCAGACCAGAGCCCAGGAGCCCAGTGACAGTTCTCAGGAACAGGAAGCTGAATGCCAGGCAGGAACCAGCCTTGCCACACTGGAGCAGGCAGGGCAGGAAGCCGGGCCACCCAAGACTGCAATCAGCAAACTCATTAAACTTGCAGCAGGACTTCTGCACCTGATCCCACAGACACAGCCCTGGAATTCTCAGCCATTCTCCCATGTAACCCTATCTAGGGAGCAGGCAACAGTGGAGGAAACTGATGAAGAACCCTCAACTGCAAGGAGGCATGCCATCATGGGCCCCAGGTCTATTTCTAAAATGACTATACTTTCAGTCTTCCTGAAGGCAGCTTGCCCTTGGCACCTTTGAGTAACACGTACCTTCAGGCAGACAGCCACACAGTGTACAGGACTGTCTGCCCACCCAACGACAAGTGCCCCAGACAATAATACTCCTGCCTGGTTGTGGCCGTGCTGGGTCTAACCTGAGAGCCTGGCCAACAGGTCCTGCTGCCTCAGCATCTCCACCACCAGTTTCAATTCTCAAACAAGCAGGCTCCGGCGGGGAGCTCCCTGAACAAAGGGCTGAGAATGTCTATATAGTCTCTTCCATGTGAGAAAGAGGTCACTGTGCATTCCTCTCTCCTCCCAACGCTGCTACCTCCAGCTATGCTGCAGGACCAGGGTTGGTCAGCTTGACATCTCCCCAGGTCCTCCCCCAGACCCACTGCAGATGACAGAACCCTACCGCAAAGGGTAGGGTGGCCAGAAGCAAGTCTGTATTTCATCGCTAAACTCCTTCCCCTTGATTTGCATTCTCCTCTATTAGACATCCTGTGGTATTCACACCCGTAAGTCCATTTCTGCAAGTGAAACTGACAATGCCACTACTGTCTCCTGATGCTTTATCCATAGCCCCCAGCACTGTGAATTCCTGGGGCAGGCTCAGGCATCCCTGTCTGAGATGCATGAGATGCACAGAGCTGGGTGGGATCCAGGGTCAGCCTGGGAGCCAGCAGGGTCACCAGCGCCTAGATGGAAGGGCCTTTTCTTTCTCTATCACTGACCATTGTCACCATGGTCACCTCCCCCAGCCCCAGCTTGCCTACACTACTACAGCTTGCCACCACCATTCTAACCTACTGGGGAAACAGTGAACATGTTTACAGCCTAACCACAAGCTACCAGTCTCTCCACAAGTTCAAAAGTGCACTAGTTCTTAACAGCAGTGATAGGGACTCAGGCTTCTTTATGATTTAGGGGAAGACCTGCCCTTCACCATCTTTAGGGAGGTACTGGCATGATATCACCTGCCAGGGTAGCACTCCCCTAACTCTGTATCCCCTCACCTGGGTGTCCTTCCACCCTCTACTCCACCAGGCAGGACTGAGGACCCAGGAAGGGGACCCTGACGATGCGCCTTCTTGCAGACTCAGTCAGTGTCCGCCAGCCCAGGCCCCAGCCCTCTGTGCTGAGCAATCAGAGCAAGTTCTATGGACTCCTCCCAGACAGCCCCCTTCTAAGACTGGCCTGCTGTGTCCTCCCACTGCTAACCCATGGCAGGCAGAAGGACAGAACAGACATTCAGATCCATATTTGCTTCTGGAAGGCCTGCTAAACCAAAACCAAAAACACCAAATCCACTGCCGTCAAGTAGATTCTGACTCATAATGACCCGATAGGACAGAATAGAACTGCCCTATAGGATTTCACAGACGCAGATTACCACATCTTTCTCCCACAGAATGCAAAAACCAAAAAAAAAAAAAAAACCAAACAAACCAAATTCACTGCCATCAAGTCATTTCCAACTCATCCAACTCATGGTGACCCCCATTAGGTTTCCGAGGCTATTAATCTTTATGGAAGTAGATCCCCCTGTCTTCCTTCCACGAAGCAGCTGGTGGGTTTGAACTGCTGACTTTTTGGTTAGCAGTCAGGTGCCTTACCCACTACACCACCAGAGCTCCTTACAGAGTGCAAAGGTGGGTTCAAATCATTGACCTTTCAGTTAGCAACCAAGTGTTTAACCAATGCACCATCAGGGCTCCAGAAGGCCTGCAACACGGTCTTATTTTTACTTCTGTACCTATCTGCCTTATGTTCTTTTGGGGCTTCTGCTAAAAGAGCGTCACTGCTCAGGAACAGCTGGGCTGTGTGTCCATGATAAGGCCATAGGGACCAGGCAGGAATGGAGAAGTGGTGGGCAGCGGGAAGGGGAAAGCTAACAGGGAGAGTGCACCAGCCTCCAGAAGAGCAGAGAGGCCGCCACCCTCAGCTCGCTGCCCCGCCTCCCTAGAGTCACCTATTCCCTGGCACAGCCTGACCTCAGTCAAGTTCCCAGTCAGGACCTGCACTACCCCATTTGTAAACAATCTTGCCCCAGGGTTGGGAGCGCTGCTGCCACCACCCATCCCAAGTCCACAGATGACGTTTGCTAGATAGGATAGGGCCAGGCTGAGCTGGATGCGTTACCTGCACAGCGCAGGAAGAGCTCACAAAGCCGCTTCTGGAAGGCGCTGCCACCGTCCTTATGGACCACAGAGGCGAGGACAGGGGGCGTGCCTTAGCCAAGGGAACGGCACCCAGATCCAAATCCAGGTTCCCGTGGGAGTCGAAGTCCCCTGCTGCAGCGACCCAGAATCACCACCCTATCCCTGGGGGCCGAGGAGCTAAGGCCAGAATGGTAACCATGGGAAACCCAAGGGCACCCGATCCCGGCTGTCCCGCCATGCCTCCACCCCGGGAGGCACGCACAGCACAGCCCGGAAGGAGCAGCCCGCAAAGGCTGCGCCACCAGCCTGGGACCCCCCCCCACCGGCCCGCCCTTCTCAGGCCGAAGCCCCTTGGTGACGCGGGAGCCGCACAGATAGGGTGATGAGGAGCTGTCCAAAGCCCCAAGGGCCCTGCGCGCCCCCGGGTTACAAGCGCCCGGAGCCCTCACAGGACCCAGAACAAGCACTCGAGCCCGGGGCGGGGCCTGGCGCGCGCATGCGTGGCAGCGACAGGCGGCCCCTCCCCCGAACAGGGTACTTACAGATGGCCCCCAGCACCCCAGACAAGCGACATAGCCAGCGGTACCACCACGTCATGCCCTCCTCCTGCGCAGGCAACGCGGAGCCGGCGGATGCCGCCGCCGCCCCGCCTGCGCCGCTCATGGCACCGCTGTGCCGCGAATCCCGCGGCCAGCACAAAGGCTCGGAGCCGACCCGCCTCGCTGCGGCGCGTGGCCTTGTGGGAGAGGGGCCTCGTTAGCATAAGGGGCAGGGCTCTTCCGAGGGTATTGGCTTTAATTAGCATAAGAGGCGGGGCCCGCATGACAGCAAGGCGTGCCGAGTGGGCCGTGGTTATTAGCATAAGGGTCAGGGCTTTGCGGCGAACGGATACACCCACCCCTGGAAGTCTGAGCATCCAGCCCAGGAATAGCTTAGGGGCCGGCCTTGCCAGACTGAGAGGGGCACTTATTAGCATAAGGGATAGGGCTCTCAGGACATTAAACTGAAACGCTGAGTGGACCCTGCCTCATTAGTGTAGGGAACTGGACTGGAAGGCATAGGGATTCGTGCACCCCTAGAGTAGTCTGAGCATCCAGCCAAGTAATAGCATAGGGGCGGAGCTACGCGGAGAATTAACTGGTGCGCCAGCCTCTGGCCCAATCCTAACTCCACGTGTCCTTATCTTTTCTTCTCCCTGGATAGGAAGAACAGTGTGAGGAATGGCGAGGGCTTGCCCGGGTCGGGAATGGGTCTGGAATCCAGTCGAGGCCAGGGACCCCCCAGCTTGTGGTGGGATGAGTTCTGAGCCAGGTTTGGACCGGTTAGTGGGAGAAGACGTCACCCAGGCTGCAGCTCCTCACAAAGATCCTTTTATTGGTACCGGAGGGGCTAGGGGCTGCCTTCCACCCCTTAGCCTTTTATAGATTTGGAGGAGACCCCAAGGTGATGCCTGAGTTGAAGAGAGTTAGAACCAGAAGTCCTCCGAGAGCAGAATCCACCTCTCCAGGCTGACCAGGCACCACAGGTGTTCAGTAAGCTCAGAACCCTTCCTTTGCCGGCTCATATCCTTTCCAAGATGAGAAAGGCATTTCCTGTGCCATGCTCCGCTGAGACCCTGCACAGATGAACTTGGAGAGGAAGCTAGGGCAGGGCCAGGGCCCCCTCTTCCTGAGCACTACGGAGGGTCCAGTACTGGCCCCACAGGCTGAAGTGCGCCTCCAGGAAGCCCTTGCTGAACTCCACCTCAGCCTGGCTGCCCTCCGACTCCCAGTAAAACCACTGTTGTCCGTGGAATGTCGAGCTCCTCAGGCTGTGACTGTCGCGGACCTGGGAGGAAATGGGTAGCCCCATTGGGCGGCGCATAATTAGGTAGCTTTATGGAAGGTTGGGCAATCCTACTTCCGTAGTGATACTGCCTCGGAAACCCAAGGAGGGGTCGCTATGAGTCGGGGCCGACTCGACGGCACATAACAACAACAACAACATGGAGCCTTTAGTAAGCAAAGCTTCTATATCAGGATCGCATTGCCCAGGGACACAGGCTCCGAAGTTCTAGCACTTCCCCAAGGACACACAGGAGGGCCATGGGTGGCCAAGCTGCGATCTGAGGCCGGTCATCCCAGGGCCCAGGCCTCCTCCCAGGGGAGCTAATTCTTTGCAGGGAACAGTTCTTCCAGGACACACAAAATCTCATGGAGGGTTGGCCCGCTCTCTGGCAAGTTATATCATGGTTTAAAATTATGCTTCAATCCTGGCTTAACTAGCAGTCTACATCAGAAAAGGTCTTTCTATTTCCACCCAGAGGCACATCAGAAGAAAGGCCTGGCAATCTACTTCCCAAAAATCAGCCATTGACAACCCTCTGGAGCACACAGTTCTACTCTTACACACAAGGTTGCCATGACTCAGAGGTGACTGGGTGGCAGCTGGTTTAGGGCACTCAATAAACCTGTTGGGTAAAGAATTGGAGGAGGCTCTTTCTCGCATTCTTTCATTAACGACTTTGAGGTCTACCCTGAAAAAGACTCAAAGGGTCCTGTAGCTCAGCACCCCCTGTCCCTGTCCCCAGGGTCACCTGTCCCAGAATCATAGCAAAGTCACCCCACTTCTGTCCCCACCCTGGTGGCCTCACCAAGATGTAGCCAGCATCAGTCCCCTTGGTCCCTGTGCCTACATCAACGGTGACCAAGGCGTGGATGGCCATCCGGGCCTGTGGAGCCACACTGATGAAGACCCGGCAGCTTCCCATATTCCTCCCATCTGGACTCAGCAGTGGGCTTGTGATTTCACCCTGGGGTCCAAAGAGCTGCATGTCGCATTCTGCAGGGATGGCAGGTGGGTGCAACTGGGAGTGAGCCACCTCAGGGACATAGGAGCCCTGACTGACTGTGGTGCCAGAGGCCAGGGCAGTTCACAGCCAGGAAGCCCCTGCTGAGCTCCATCCAGCTCTACTGATTTCAACCCTGCGAATTGCCACAAAAGTCCTAAGTGCTACCTGTGCTCAGTCCTCTCCTCTATAAAGGGAAGGTGGCACATACCAGGGATAGGCATTTTTAGGGGCATTCGATGAAATCATGCACATAAAAGTGCTTAACATTGCACCAGACACAAAGGGATGCTATCCTCTCACAATCACTAGGAGTCTGCTAGTCTGTGCCTCCTAGGCCCCATGCAAGGTGGGTGCCTACACATGATCAGGAGGAAGGGAGTAGGGGCGACAAGAATGATGACTGGGACATTTCTGAATGACTCAGCCTGTGCTCTTGGCACCAGCACAGCTGCTGCTAAGGGGTGGTGGCTGGCGAGAGCAGCTGTGTTCCATCTCTGCAGAGGTTGCCCCCTTGTACCCTAGTCCTGGGGAGACTGGAAACCTCAGCACACTCTTGGGAAGCCAATTCCAGCCCGCTGAGGCTGCTTGGAGCAGGCAGGTCCTTGGCAACACAGAGCTGAATACAAAGCAGGCATGGTGGGCCAGGTGTGCATGGTGATGGGATGCATATGTGTGCACACACACACGTGTGCACGTATGTGCAAGCATGCACACTCAGCTCTTCAAGGGAGGAGTGAAGAAGTCAGAACAAGGCTGAAGGAAAGTGGCTTGCTTTGCACTGGAGGAGGCAGCAAGCCCAGACGCTGCCCAGCCTCGTCCTCGGTCTATTGTAGAGGCCTGCATGCTAGGGACAGGCTGCAGTCTGAAGGCTGAGGTGAGGATGTGACAGAGACCTGAGACTGGAAGGTACACGGCACACACCCGGCAGTCTCACCCTAACTGCTTTCCTGCTCTAAATCAGCTCCTCCCTCCTTGCCTACCATCCCTCAGGGCCAGCCCTCTATGGCAGCAGCCCCTACCCAGCCTCCTGCCTGACAGAATGGTGGCAGGAAGGCCTGGTAACTGGCCATACCTCGGTGGGATGTGTGCAAGGAAGGCTGGCCCCTGTACCGAAGCACCACGCCACCATCCAGCTGCACTAGGTGCTGCCTCACCACCAGCGTGTTGGTTTTGGAGCTGAAGACAGTGCCAGCCAGCTTCCTGCATGTCTTCTTCCATGTGAGCCTGCCCCACAGCAGCAGCATCTCCCCTAGGAAGCAGCCATGTGTGAGAACCCAGTACCTTCCACCCAGCGGACAGCACAGTGGCCTAGGTAGGACTAAGCCAAATTCAAATCCCCGCTCTCCTGCTTCCAGGTCATAGGACTTTAAGTTTCCTCCCAACCTCAGTTTCCTCATCTATAAAATGAGTGTAATCACATCCCAGTCAGAAGACAGCTATAGTGATAAAATGTGAGAGTTTTCATAGAGCAGCCGCCCACAGGGCCCTGGACATACCAGCACTGCAGTTGAGGGAACTCTCAAGCACCTGGAGCGTGACCACCTCCCCCAGAGGCCGCCCAATGGCCACCATGCAGTCTGCCTGCCCTGGGCCTCGAAGATCAATGATTCCTGCTGGCTCCAGGAGCTGCTGTCCACAGACACCTGAAGGGGGAGGTGGGCATGATAAGCTGAGCCTCCAGGGATCAGGGTAGACCCAGGGTGACTGGGTCTGGGCAGGGGACTGCACAATGCCCACAGAAGGGTTGGAGCGCCTCCCAGGGCCCCAGTGAGAGGAGCCATGTGACAACAGTGCACAGGGCAGTGGATTACACAGACCTGGGTCAAACCCTGACACTGTGAGGCCTTAGGCAGGTTACTTGCCCTTGATCCTAACAGAAGGAAGGAGAGGCCTGCCCTGAGCCTGTCTTCAAGCCCAGCCCTTTACCCACCTGCTGTGATCATGGAAGGGTCCCAGGGAATCCCCATGAGGACCTCACCTCAGCCCTCCCAGGGCAGCTGTCTTTGCCCACACCCCCTGCTGCCAGTGCCCCAACTGAAAGGAGGGAGGAACGTAACTGGACTCTGAAGGGCTTTCCCAGGGCCTGAGCAGGAAGGTTGGAGGCTGGGAAGCTGGAGAGGGGAGGTGGGTCTGGGCCCTCGGCTGCTCCAGGGCAGCTCTAGTTGTGGCAGCTGTGGTCTGGCCTGCAGCAGTAACTTCCTGGTGGGGTGCTGGGCTGAGCGTTCCCTGCCCTCCACAGGGCCCCGCCCAGCAGCCCCGCACTGTCACCGGCTTGGGCAAATGCTGGCAGAAGTCAGCTGGCATGGACACCTGGGCCTGGGAGCCAAGGCAGGCATCCTGCCGGCGCTGGACCCCATTCCCGCAGGAGACAGAACACTGGTGGGACAGGAGAATCATAGCTAACCCCGGGGGGTGATGAGGACAGTGTTGATCTATCTCTACTACTATGCACCCACTACAGGCCAGGTGTGAGTGGACATATACTTTAAGCAACCTGGGAGGTAGACAGGTTGTCTCTGTGCCACATATGAGGAGACAGGCTCAGAGGGCTCACTTGGGGCAGGCCACATACATACGTATATAGAAGAGAGGATAAGTTTCAAGCCCGGTTTCTAACCACCACACTCACAGCCTCCCTGCCTCTCCAACCCCAGAGCAGCGAGCAGAGCTCCTCGTGGGGCCAGGCCCCTCTCACTCATCCCTGCCATTGGGCTCCTCTCATCTGTCTTTGCAACCTGACTCCCTCTCATCCAACTCCTCTCAATGGTCCCTGTGGCCAGGCCCCCTCTGCACCATCCCCAAAGCTAGGCTCTTCTCCCCACCCATCCCCCTGCTCCCCTCTCATCTCTGCCCCAGCCAGGTGCCTGGGCAGCTCTGATGAGATAAGACGTGGGAGGAGCTGCAGGGCCGGTCTCTAAACCAGACCTCCCTGCATCTGCTCTGCCTCCTCTGCCCTCTCCACACCGGGAACAAGCCCCTAAAGGGACTGAGCCCATGTATCTTGTCTTCCCAGGGCCTGCAAGGGGCCAATGCCTGATGTTGCTCACTCGTCCATCATGGATTGAGGTGTCTACTTCTTGGGATGCCCTTAGACCCTGCCCCCTCAGCAGACCCAGCACATCACAAGGCTGTAGACTGGGTAAAGCCCCAACACCCCCACAGAACCTCTAAACACAGAGCTGCCCAGGCCCCACCTAGAGGTTCTAGCTCAGCTTTGGGGTAGTGGGAGGTGATGTGCAGCCTCACAAGTGATGTGAGGGGAGTGAGGGAAGAGAACTCACCATTCTTAGGTGTACCATGAATCAAAGCCAGTGGGGCCCCATTGAGATGACCTTGGACACCCCCAGCCCCAGCTGCTGGCTCACCTCTGTCCAGGTGCTGACATGCCACCGGTAGGCACAATCAGCAAGCAGGCAGGGGACAGTGGTCTTTGGCCGCTCCAGACTCACACAGGCCACCTCGTCCAGCTCAGTCTCATGGCCTTGGTCCAGCTGAACACAGGCCACAGAGCGCAAGGCAGTGCCAAGGCCGCAGCTGGCTGAGCACGGGCCTGGGGGCAGCACTCTCCACCTGTAGGGAGAGGAGGCCTCAGGGCGCCCCACCTTGCCCAGCCCTCAGTTGTCTGCCCAGGGACCTCCACACAGCTAGGCCCTGGGCTGAATGTTTCATGAGCAGTACAGGTTTTATCCAACCCATTTCCCAGATTCCCAGGGGCTTCCACACAGCTAGGTCCTGGGCTGAAAGTTTCATGAGCAGTACAGGTTTTATCAAACCCATTTCCCAGATTCCAGAAGGAAAAATTGCCTCTTGAAATAAGAAGTGGCTGAGGAGAGAGCACCTGGCGGGGCAGGGCTCCGGGCTGCAGTCTTCAAGAGGGCCAGGCCGGGGCAGCTGCCAGCACCTGGCGTGGGGCAGGGGAATGGTTCGGCCACCATCTGACCTCACGCAGCGCACAGCCAGTGGCACCTGGCCCCCTCCACAAGTCACTGGACATGGTGCCAAGGCTCGGGTTTCCCACCTGGAGAAGGCAGGCTGGTGATTGAGGGGCCACTGAGGCCAAATGCCTTCCAGCCCCATCCTCCTTCCTACTCACCGTGCTGGGCACGGAGCAGCCTGGCAGGCCTCCCATGAGCTTCCGGGTCTGCTTTCCAGGTCACACAGCTCTTCTGGGACCACTGTGCTGTGGGCAGAATCCATGCACACAGAGCGCAGCTCCCTCAGGCCTACAGGAGGAAGCAGGGACCCCACACCCAAGAAGGGGTCTCAGCAAGGCCTGCTGCCTGGCTGAGAGCTTCAGTAGCTAGAGTCACGTGGTTCCAAGGCCTGGCCCCACCACTTACCCATGTGCTTCCCTGGACAAGGGACTTAACCTCTTTGGCCTGGGGTGGGGCCTGCCTTATAGGGTCATTTGTAAAGATTCAAGAGGGATATGTGAAGGGCCTGGCACACAGTAGGTACTGGACAAACGGTAGTGGTTATTGTCGACTGGGAGGCATTGTAAGAATTGCAATATGAAAATCTCCTACCGTGTTGGTCATAAAGTTGTCATTAGAGCAGTTTCCTCTCTATTAGGAGCACTCTTAACAGAAAGCTCTGGTTTCAGTTCAGTGCTGAGGTTTTACTGAGCACAACGTTAGGCTTTAAGAATGCTGTATCTCTAACTGTTATGGGTTGGATTGTGTCCCCCAAAATCTATGTCAGGATCCTAGCCCCTATGCCTGGGGATGTGATCCCATTTGGGAATAGTCTCCTTTGTTGCCAAAGAAACCAAACCCACTGCCAGTTGATTCTGACTCATAGTGACCCGTATTTGGTTTCCAAGGTGGTACATCTCTACAGAAATAGATGTTCCAGTCTTCTTTCTGCAGAGTGGCTGGTGGACTTGAACCACCAACCTTCTGCCTAGCCTTAGGCACTGTGCTACCAGAGCTCCTTTTTCTTTGTAGCATGTGTCCTAAACCTCACTTCTGAGTTATAATGAGCAACAGAGACACACAGAGAAGCAAGCACAAAACTGGAGAAAGACAGATGCCACGTGAAGATCATCAAGGCACTGAGAAACACTGGTGCTACGGAAACTGAAACAGAGACAAGGACCTTCCCCCAGAGCCGACAAAGAGCAAGCCCTCCCCTTGAGCTGGTACCCTAAATTTGGACGTCTAGCCTCCTGATCTGTGAGAAAATAAATTTGTTTTTTAAAGCCGCCCACTTGTGGTATTTCTGTTACTGCAGCTCTAGGGAACTATGACAATTTAATTTTGGCTGCCCAGCTCAGAGCTAAGTTTGGAGCTTAAGGGATACTCTTGGGTACAGTATTATCTGGCTTTATTATCTTTTTCTATCCTCCATTCTGGTAGCATAGTGCCTAAGGCACTTGACTGCTAACCAGAAGGCTGGTGGTTCAAACCCACCAGCCACTCCTCGGAAGGAAGGTTGGGCAATCCTACTTCAGTAGTGATGCTGCCTTGGAAACCCAAGGAGGGGTCGCTATGAGTCAGGGCTGACTGGATGGCAAATAACAACAACAACATCCTCCATTCAATCAACTGACACATTTCAAGTGGCTGCCAGATATTTTACCCCTGTCTCATTGTATATGATGTTTTGTTTTTGTGTAGTTTGCATTTACTATTGTTTTCAGTTGCTGTCAAGTTGATCCTGACTCCTGGCAACCCCACACGTAAAGAGTAGAACTGCTCCATAGGGTTTTCAAGGCTGTGACCTTTCAGCAGCAGATTGCCAGGGCTGTTTTTTAAGGCATCTGCATGGGTTCAAACCACCAATCTTCTGGTTAGTAGTCAAGTACTTAAATATTTATGCCATCCAGGGACCTATAGACTTACTGTATGGCACCACAAATCCTTTCTAGAACTAGGTAAGCAGACAAGAGTGTTCACTGAGTCTGGTTCTGGGAAGAGTCCTGGAGGCCCCTCACCTTGGCCACAGGAGACGGAGCAGGGCCCACCCAGAGGAATCCACACGTGTACAGCAAGAGTCCCTGGCCTGGGACTGTCTAGTGGGGATGGAGCTTCCTCTCCTGGAGCCATGGCATCTAGCTGCAGGGGAAGTAACAAGCTGGGGACCTCCAAGTCCCCAAGAACCCAGCCTTCCACCCCTCACTTGCCCCAGTCTTTCTGAGATGGAGCAGAGTTCGGTAAGCGGTCCCTAGCACACCAGGGGCTGCCGATACACTCTCTTTCTGAAAGCCCCCTGCCCACCCAGCACACCTACCCTGGCCTTGGCAGGCTTCTCATGGCAGGAGTGCCTACAACCAACCTCGAGGGGCAAGGGCGCCCTGCGCCTGGCCTGAGAACAAACCCCACCAGTCTCAAACTTTGTATACCAAGTGAGAAGGACTAAATTAAGCTCCTGCTTATCCAGTTCTAATGGGGTCTAGATTCTCTCAGGCTGGTTTTCAAGCAGGAAGGTCACTGTTCCTAAGTGGATCATTGATAGGGGTACCCTCAGAGGTTTTTCTCTCTGGCATGGGAGGAGAATGGGAACCGAGTCCTCCTTCTGGCCAGATAGGGACCCAAGAGACTCAGCCACCCTCTCCCCAGGGCACTCACATGACCCCAGCCCTGATGACATGACATCCCGAAGCAGGGTGCAAGTGTAGATGGCTTTTCATCTGTGGAACACGGCCCAGCAGGCGACAGAGCCTCCTGGCCTTCTACTCCTGACCCACATGTCCTGTTCCACACAGTTGGACCAGGGGCCAACGTCTCCTTCCTGCAGACAGCACAGGATGGTCAGCGGGTCCTGCTGCAGCCATTGGCTATAAGTGCAGCCCAACCCCTGGGGGGCAGAGTGAATCTACTCGCCAACATGCAGGAGCCCACAGAGGGCCTCAACAGGAAGAAACACCCAGGGGTCTTTCTCTCAGAGTTCGGGGTTAACAGAGTCACCTGTCAGAAGATCACATTTCCCCTTGACAGGTAACCTCATTGGTGCCTGATGCAGGGAGACAAAGACCCCTCCTCCCCTGCCCCCCATGTCACAACAGTGCATAGCAGGCACCCAAGAAACATGTGCCAGATGGAATTGAGTCACCAATCTCAGGCGTGACAGAGGGGTTTGACTTTGTGGCCTACTCAAGAGGCCAGTCTGCCTGGAGTGCTATGTTGAGAGGATTCTAAGTCTGTGTTGAGGAGGGGTCTGAGGCTGTGTTGAAGAAGTATATGAGGCTGCTTTGAAGAGAGGTCTAAGGCTGGATTGTGCTTCACTGGGGAGGAGTGGTAAGTCAATATCTGCTATGGATGCAAGAGGGGAAAGGGAGCCCAGATCCTTGTTGGGCCCCCAATGGTATAGTCAAGCCCCCTCCCCACTGGGCAGATAAAGCAACCAAACCCTAAAGAAGGAGAGGACTTGCCCAGTCACCCAGCCAGTTAGTGGCAGAGTAGAATGATATGTCAGTCTGGACGCTGCAGAACAAGAAGCAGCCTATGGGCACCATGGAAATAGCAGTGTTAGTTATGAAGTGGTGTTCACTCTTCACATTCATGTTCCATGCTGTGCTCCCAGCTCCCTGTGAGTGATTCCTCTGCCCATTTCAGAGCAGGAATTTCAGAGAGGGAATGACTGGCCCAGGGCCACTCAATGGCAGTTTTAAAATTGGCACTCTTAACCTCTAAGCCACCACGGCCTCTTGCAACCTGAGGCCTTAAGGAAAGGAGACAGTCCGAGGGAGCAGGGCTCAGCACAGGAGACAGCTCACAAGAGAGACAGACTAGCCAAGCCTAGCCCGGCCTAGTGCTCACCCTGGCTGGTTTCTGCCCTGGCCAGGAGCTGAGTCACCTCTCTGCAGTGGCAGCATCCTAGGGAGACCACCCCAGGCCTCCATACAGTGTCCTGCTGGTCACCCCTAGGAGACTCTGTGTGGGCAGAAGTTTCCCACTGCCCTGTGGCAGAGGGCAGAGCCAGCATCAGGCACTGGCCAGGTCCCCAGGGTGGCTCAGGGGAGGGGTTGGGAGCAGGTAGATTTGTCCAGCCAAAAGCTGACAGTCCTTTCCCCGGTCTGAGTCCAGCAGCTGAGCACTGCGCAGGTATAGCCCACCTTGACCACTGGCTCTCCCAGGGTCTTCAGGACAGCCATTCCCAGAGGGCCAGTGTGGTACAGTGAATTACTTGCTATGGCTTTTCTAGCCATAGTCTTTGTAACTCTCACCAGATTACTGGGTGGGACCTTGCAAATAAGATGTGTAGAACTCTGGTGTTGGGCTTAGTCACTAATTAACTAGTTGGGGTTAGTTTTGTCACTCTGCCAGGCTTAAAATGAGCCATCCTAGAAGCAGAAAGAAGAATCTCACTGCCATCAAGACAGAAGAGCTGGAGCTGAAGCAGAGCGCATTCTTGAACCTGAGATCCCTGCCCTGGAGCTCCTTGGCTGAGAGATGCCCAGCTGAGAGAGAGAAGCCTGGCTGAGAGACAGTGCCAATGGAGCCAAGAGGCAGGAGATGGAGCAGTGGGCTTTCTGGCCCACAGAACAAGAAAGCTGTGTGCCCTTGCACAGGAGGCTTCCTGGCAGAATGGGGTGCACGTAGTTATGTACCTATCATCAGAGCTCAAAGAGCTTGGTAACACTTGCCTGAGCAGGGCAAAGGCCAGGCTGAGAACCCAAGGGCCAGAGAGGCAAGCCTGAGGGCATATGTGATAGTTGGAGCTCTGTGTCAACTTGGCTAGAACACAATTCTGAGTGGTTTAAGCAGTTGTAATGTGGGTTATTCCCATGATGAGATCAGATGTATATGCTTTGAGCAGTCAATCTGTTGAAAGGGCGTTTCTTTAGGGGTGTGGCCTGCTTCCAATATATTCATGGACATTCTGGGCAAAGAGACATTCTTCTGTGGATCGGGAACCTGTTGTGCTGCCTACAACTGTCTGTGAGTGAACAATCCACCATTTGTCCTGGTGATCTTGGATTTGTCATTCTTTGGAGTCAACAGCTGGTATACTGCCTGTCAACCTTGAGCTCGTCAGCCCCTGCAGCTGCCTGAGTCAGGAAAAGCCTCCAGCATGTTTAGTCCAAGAACTTGAGACTTGCCAGCTTCTGTGAGTGTGTGAGCCATTTTCCTAAGATAAATTTTTCTCTCTCTTTATATAAGCTTTACTGATCTTGCTTCTCTAGAGAACCCAGCCTAACACAGCACAGCAAAGGGGAGACTGTCCTGACTGAAGAACTGTATCCTGAGTGAGTTCCTGAACCTGAATTGTAACCTGTTACTTCCCCAATAAACCCATAATCATGAGTATTGTCTGTGAGTTCTGTGTGGCCATTGCAATGAATTACTGAACCTAGCAGAGAAGTAGTAAGTGCAGTGGGAGAGATGGCTGGTGTTAGAATTAGTAAAAAGGTTGGAGGATGGCGGTATGTTGGGCCTTGTAGGAATAAGACTTGGGCTATTGATGGTGATTCTGCTTCCCCCTCATGAGATCTCAGGAGGTCAGAAGATGCCGACCCTAAACCCCTTTTGCAGCCAGTCTTGTAGGACTGCCCCACATACCCAACCCCTGTGTACAAGTGCAGCTGGGAGCCACCCCAGCCTGTGTCCCAGCAGGGACAGCCTGGCTCTGCTCTCAGGACCCTGCTGATTACACCTGCATGGCCAGCAATGTCCAGGTAGCCCATCCCTTCCTCCCTCCGAGGTGGCATCACCACCTCCATCTTACACTGAGAAGCTCAGCTCAGAGAGGGTGGAACACCTATAGACAGTGTAGTGGTTAGCACAGGCCACCAGCTGACACTGTCTCTGTCTGCCTTGAGTCTCAGTGTCCTCATTGTAAAATGGGGATATGGACAGAGCCGACCTCATGGTGCAATCTCCAGGATGTGATGATATCACAGGCAGAAGCTGCCTAGCACAGCCCTTGCACCTGGACCTGCCACCCACTAAGAGCCCTCAGCCACACTCAGAACTTACTGTGGGGGACAGGGCAAAAGGGTGCAGGACTCTGACCAAGCTGGCGGCTTCGGGCTCCCTCTGCACCAGATGGCCTCTACCCACTCATTCTGGGCCTGATCTAGACAGCCATAGGACACCCAGCGATGCCCTGGAAGGAGAGAAGAAGGCTAGGCCACGTCCAGGCAGCAGGCACCAGTGCTGTGGGTCAGCCCTTCCCCAGGCCTCACCTGCCCCACAGCTCACCGAACAGGACCCCCGAGTGGCAACCCATGTCCCCGCCTGTGGCTGCTTAGGCTGGAAATAGCTGAAGGTGATGTTTGGGCATGCAAGGCTGCCATACTCCTCACCATAGCGCCTGTAAACCTGCACCAAGACAGACAAAAGAGCTCAGGCCTGTGCCCCATGGGCCCCATGGTCACTGCTCACAGCCACCTCCTCTAGAAAGCCTCAGTCCCTGCATTCTTACATTCACCAAGCAATCACCAATGGTGATCCCATGCCAGGCTCTGGATAGCACAGGACACAGTCCCAGCCTCAAGGAGACCTGGGCAGGTTGGTCAGCTGTCTCTGTCTTTTTGACACCAGCTGCACATGCAGCTCCTCTTCTTCTGACCCTAAGCACCCAGAGCTGGGTCAGCTCTCACAAGTTAAAGGGCCAGCTTTATGCATGACCTTAGACAACAGCTGCAAGGTCCCCACACCTCTTCACATCTGACCTGCTGGCTACTTATCTTGAGGTTCTTACTATCCCTTCAGTTATGATAATTTACTAGATCAACTCATAGAATTCAGTAAAGCACTATACATATAATGCATCTTTAATATAAAAGAAGAGACACATAGGGAGAGCTCTGGGAGGGTCCCCATTGTGGAGCTTCCATGTCCTCAAGGAGACATCACCCTCCAAAGCACTGATGTCTATCAGCAACCAGGGAGCTCTTGAAACTTGTGTCCAGAGCTTCTCCTGGGGTCTCATTAATAGGCATAATGGATTGACTCACTACCCATGCGGTTGAACTCAACCTCCAGCCCTGTTCCCTCTCCAGCTTAGTTCCAGCTGATATCACATGGGGGTATGTGGGCCATTCTGTCCTAACCAATCTCACCCAACATGAATCACCTCATTAGCACAAATTCTCAGGTGTGTCCCCTCGGATGACAGGCACTCCGATCTGTCCAGAAATTCCAGGAGCCAAGGACAAAGACTAAATTCTTTGGGTGAAGTAACAGATAAGTGCAGAGTAGCCGATAGATGCAGTTTAGAGATATGCACAGGGTACTATGGGAGCACAGAGGAGACTTCCTACATTGATGGGGGTGGGGATCACAGTGGAGGACAGGAGAGATTTCAGGAGACAAAGAGCAGGAACAAGATGTAGAGGGGCCATCCTACACAGTGTAGCTTGAGCAAGGACCTGGAGGCAAAATGAGGCTCAAAAAGTTGGCAGGAAAGGACTGGACTACGGGAGACTAGTGGCCAGGGCTTGACCAAGAGAGTGCTGGGAGTCAGGGAAGATTTTTATCGAGGTAGCCTGGGCCTGCTTGCTTTTCTTCCAAGGTGCCTCTAGGTGGACTTGAACTGCCAACCTTTCAGTTAGCAGCTTAGTGTGCTGGCCATTTTCACCACCCCAGGATTCCTCCACACATAGTAGTCCCCCAAATGACTGCCTAGTGAATGGGTGAGTGAGTGAGGAACAAATGAACCAACAGCAGAACCACCAGGAAGACCCTACCCATCTACTCCCATCAGGTTGATTCTGACTCCTAGTGACCCTACAGGGAGCTCTGGTAGCATAGTGCCTAAGGCACTTGACTGCTAACCAGAAGGCTGGAGGTTCAAACACACCAGCCACTCCTCAGAAGGAAGGTTGGGCAATCTATGTCTATAGTGATACTACCTCAGAAACCCAAGGAGAGGTCACTATGTGTTGGATCCGACTCAATGGCACATAACAACAACAAAACAGTGACCCTACAGGACAGAGTAGAGCTGCTCCATACCAAAAAACCAAAAATCAAACTCACTGCCCTCGAGTTGGATCTGACTCATAGCAACACCTCCTTGGGTTTCCAAGGCAGTATCACTACAGAAGTAGATTGCCCAATCTTCCTTCTGAGGAGTGGCTGGTGGATTTGAACCACCAGACTTCTGATTAGCAGTCAAATGCCTTAGGCACTACACCATCAGAGCTCCCGAGCTACTCCATAGAGTTTCCAAAACCCAAACTAAACCCACTGCCATAGAGTGGATTCTGACTCATAGCAACTCCCATTGGGTTTCCAAGGAAGTACATTGCCTCATGTTCCTTCTGTGGAGCAGCTGGTGGGTTTGAACTGCCAACCTTCTGGTTAGCAGTCAAATGTTAGGCACTGCAACACCAGAGCTCCTATAGGGTTTCCAAGGTAAATCTTTATAGAAGCAGACTGTCTCATCTATCTCCTACAGAGCAGCTGGTGGGTTCAAACCACTAACCTTCTGGTTAACAACCAAATGCTTTAACCACTGTGTCACCAGAGCTCCCACCAGGAGCACAGTCACCTGGATCTCGATGTCTTCCTGGGCAGGTCCTTGGATGTGGAGCTCCTCCCTGTGGGGCAGCTGGTCCTCAGTGAGGAGCACCCTGTACTCAATGCGGCAGTCCTCCAGCAGTGAGGGGTAGGTGGTATTGGGAGAGATGCTTGAATTCCCAGCCACGATGTACTGTCCTCGAATTCTCACTGCTGTGGGGGGATCAAGGGCCCTGAGGATCCTTACAAGGGAGTATTTTCTTTAAACTCTCCACCTTAGGTGGTGGGCCCCAGAAGGACCCCCTTTCCAGACAAGATCCTGGGTAAAAGGCTGGGGCGGAGAAGGCCACAGAGCCAGCAGAGTAAGGAGGGCCTTCTGCCTTCACTCTCCCGCCTGAGTCCCCTCCTTCCCTGAGAGCAGGACTTCCTGGCATCTCAGTCTGGTGGTCTTTCCCTCCAGGCATGCCCTCTACCGTGTGCATGCACCTCTGACCATGACAGGTTCTTTCCAGAACCTGAGAAACATGCAGGTCCTGCTTCTCTCACCAAGTGTGCATATAGGACTTTACAGGCAGTTTAGTGGCTCAAGGACCTCTGGGTGAGCCCCACACCTCACCGATTCCAAGATCTAGTGCAGACAGCTTTCTGGAAAGAAAGACTGACCATACATCTGTCAACTCACCCAAGTGCGTGAAGAGAGGACTGTGGTTGGTGACATAGACACTGGTTAGGTTAGGGGTAACCGTGAGGAATGTCACATATTCTGGAAGGAAGCAGGAAAGGGATGCATGGGGCTTGTGGGTCCCATCACAATCAAAAGGGAGATTTCAGTTGCACAGAGAAAAGGTCTTTTTAACACTGAAAGCTAGCAATGCAAAGGGTTGCCTCAGAAGTGGTGAGTCCACTGTCACCAAAGGCAATCAAGCCAGGAGGGCCACACTCAAGTTCTCAAACACAGAAAGGGGCACCCAAAGGGGATGGGCCTCAAGTCCCCCATTAGTCACCAAAGTTCCAAAGTTTGCAAATGCTTTAGTTCTTTAATGAGTCTACAAAACTCAAGGGTTTCTGGTGACAACACACCTCTTGCTAATTGCATTCTTCTCCATATGATTTCTGGAAAGGAGAGAAGAAGCTGGCCTGCCAGAAACCCACAACACTGTATCTGCATTCTTCCAGCATCACAGTTTCAGTGTGCTATGAACCCAATCAGAGCACACTGTGGGAGGGGGCAGGATGGAGGAAGGGAAGGCTGCAGGCTCAGGCAGGACATCTGAGGTCTCTGCTAGCTCCTGGAGTCTCAGGTGAGGTGAGCAGGTGAGCTCCAAGGCTGGGGCCACTTGGTCCTTCAGAGGCTGGAAGAGCAGCCCCTATACCTTGAGGGAGTCCCCTACCTCTGGCTTTTCCAGCCGAGAAAGAGCCGCTCTGTTGCCTGCAGGTGCTGTTGTCTCCTCCACACACCTGGCACATGTCATATACCTGCTGGGAGTCCATCCTGCCATCACAGCCCAGTATCTGTGCAAAGGTAAGGTAGTATGGCTCAAGGTAACTGGAGGGCATGGCTTTGCTGACAGCCAGCCACTCTGGAGCTATGAGGTGACTAAAGGACTCAAGTTGGTGCATTTCTATAGCAGTTTCCATCTACCAAGTAGGTGTTCGCAGGGCTGGAATGACCCATCTCAGCTGTGTCCAGGATCTCAGCCCCACTCCTGGGCAGACCTTACTGTCTTTGGTCAAGGCAGTACCCACAAACCTGCCCAAAGGTAACGCCCTCTGCACTTAGGCTTCCAAGGGGACAGGCAGACACCCCCTCATACACCTACCCTGCAGCTGCCCGACAGGCACAGGCTGATGGTCCCATCTGCCCTCGGACCACTTGGTACACAGCGAGTTCCGTCTACAAAGCTGTCTCCACGCCTCATGATGAAGTTCTCACCAACTGCCCGGCACATGTGCCTGCACAGAGCATCACCTGGGGAGGAGAGAGAAGGGACCCTGATGGGGGCAGGGAGGGCAGTGACTGGTCTGGAACCCCCTCTGGGACCCAGCTATCCCTGCCAAGCATGGTCCAAATGGGCCCTCACCCATCAGCCCCTTCTGTCTAGCTTCATTCTTTGCATTTGGGAGATGGTGTTCTGTTTTCTACCTCCTGCCTCTTACAGCAATAATCATAATCATAATATAGTAGCTGTTGTTGTTGTTAGTTGTTATTGAGTCAATTTCAACTCATGACAACCTCATGTGTGCAGAATAGAACTGCTCCACAGGGTTTTCAAATGTATGAGTTTTCAGAGAGCAGATCATCAGGCCCATCTTCTAAGTGCCTGTCGGTAATTTTGAACCACCAATCTTCCAGCTGGTAGTCAAGTGCTTAACTGTGCCACCAGAGATATTAACATAGTAGCTACTGAGTTATAAGCCAAGGGCCACGCTCAGGCTACACCTCCATTATCTCATGGAATCCTTCCAACAACCCTAGGAAGGAGATACTACTATCATCCCTGTTTTGCAAATGGGAAAACCAAGACTCAGAAATGGGAAGGACTTGGCCTGACCAGGTAGAAAGGGGCAGAGCCAGGATTTGAGCCAAGGTCTGCCAGAGCAGCCGTACTTCAGCATTGGAGTGGTGGGCCAGACCCCTGACCCCAAGAGTCTCTGACTTGGCTCCCACCCTCAGCCCAACCTTGGCTGTACTGCGAAGCTGAGCTCCATCGGTAGAAGGCAGTACCGCCATCAGGGAGGAGCAGTGGCTGCCCGTTGGTCTGGGCACATTGTTCTGACATGAACTCCAGCTGGCTGGTCTCACAGGCCTGCAGAGGGGTAGGGAGAATGGGAGAACAGGCATAAGGGGTCCTGAAGGAGGAGCTGCTGGTACAGCGGCATGCATTGAAGGGTCCAGAGTGGGTTGAGCCCTGCTCCTGGCTGAGCCTCAGTTCCCTGCTCTGTAAAATGGGGTGACCAAGGCACCTGCCTATTACGACAGAGGAAATAATTGATGGAGAAATTATGAAGACCACAGTGCAGGCCCACCCCCAGCAATAAAGAAGAAAGAAGGGGAAGGGCTCTGTCTTGGGGCCAGAGGCTTGAACTTCAGAAAATGGGGCCAGGATGCTACTCATAATAAAAACCAGCTGCCAGACCAGTCAATGCATGGTGACCCTATACACATCAGTGTAGAGCTGGGTTCTATAAGGTTTTCAATGGCTGATTTTTTGAAGTAGATCATCAGATCTTTTTCCAAGTCACCTCTGGGTGGACTTGAACCTCCAGTCTTTGGGTTAGCAGTAGAGAGCTTAACGTTTGCACCACTCAAAGAGGCAGGGAGTTAGGAGAATGGTAAGCATGCTGAGGCAGGCAGCCTGGCATGTTATGCTGAGTCTCAGAGAAGATTCTGAGTAGACACCTGATGGGGGCCCCTCCACACAGATGCCACCCTCTCCTCGTTACTCATCCTCTGACTCTGTGCCCCAGGCTAAGACTCTCCCCCTAGGTAGGGGAAAGACTCAGCTCCCTGGCACCCAGGTGTCAGGCCAGGAAAAGGGGAGGTGTTGGGGCAGGGAGGTGGGGCAGTCAAGGGCCAAGGCTGCAAGCATTGGTCTATGCAAAGGGAGTGGTGAAGGTGCTGTGGATGGAAATGTGTCCCCCAAAAAAAATCTGTGTTGTAAATCCTAACCCCTCTGGTGGCCCAGTGCCTAGGGCATTTGACTGCCAGCCAGAAGGCTGGCAGTTCAAGCCCACCAGCCTCTCTGCAGAAGGAAGATGGAACAATCTATTTCTGTAAAGATTTGCCACCTCAGAAACCCAATGGAGGTCTCTATGAGTCAGAATCTACTCTATGGCAGTGGGTTTGGTTTTCGTTTTATACCAGTGTTTAGAATCCCATTTGTGAATGGATTTTGTTATGTTAATGAGGCAGTGTCTGCATAGGGTGTGTCTTGAGTCAGTGTCTTTTGAGATATAAAAGAGCAGATTAGGCAAGCAGAGATAAGGGAAGATAGATGCCATGCCACATGAAGATCACCAAGGAGCAAGGAATAGAAGCCAAAGAGACAAGGATCTTCCTTCCCCCAGAGCCCACAAAGAGAAAGAGGGCCCTCCTCTACAGCCGGGGCCCTGAATTCAGACTTCTAGCCTCCTGGGCTGTAAGAAAATACCTTTCTGTTGCTCAAGTCATCCATTTGTGGTGTTTCAGTTATAGCAGCACTAGATAACTAAGACAGGGGAAGGCAGATTTTAACTCTATGTGAAAGGAATCCTTCACGGTGTCGCCAGAAAGGACTCTATGGGGTGGGGCATGAGCAGCTCTTTACAGAACAGCCAGAGCTGCTCACCGCTTTGGGCGCTCAGGGGGCAGAAGCATGGAGGGGAGAGGGGGAAGATGCCAATCCAGTTTGTGCTGTGTACTGTGGTCCCAGGATCAGTATTAACAGAGCCCCCTGCACTCTGGGAACGGTCAAGTGTGAGCCACAAGTTAGTCTCCCAGGTCCTCGGTCTCTCCAGGGCCCAGGCTGCCCCACCCACCCCAGAAGCAAGCCTACCTGGGTGTTGCACAGGTCAGCCTGGAGGTCAGCGCCTGCGCATGCACGCCCCCCAAAGGCGGGTCTGAAAATGCCCATGAGGGGTGAGAGGAGCCCCAAATACCAACCTAGGTGTCTGAGGCTGCCACCTTCCCTCTGTATCCCCTGTCAGTACCTGGGGTTGTTACATTGCCGCCTTCTGGTGAGCACACCTCCTCCACAGGAGCGGGAGCAAGGACTAGGGGGTCCCCAGTTGGACCAATGCCCATGCACTGCAGCCATGGAGGGCAGCTCCGCCAGCGAACGACAGCGCCCCCTGGAGCACCACTGCAAGGCAAATAGCCTGGGCTTGGCACCCACAGGCCCCAACACACACACCCCACCAGGCTGCCTCACACTAACCCCAGAGGCAAGCAGACCACGCACATTCACGTGGGCTGAGGGCTGCGCTGAAAGGGGGACTGGGCAGGGAAAGCTTGGGCAGCACTGCCACTCAGAGTTTCCTTCTATATAAAGACATGAACCCTTTCTCCAGGGTTGGGGGAGCAGCACACACCTGGTGCCAGCTGGGAGGAGGGTGGTCAGTGATGGCCCACTCTCTGTGCTGCGGTGGGTGTCAGGAGCGGGGGCTCTGGATTCTGAAATGGGATACAATCCCCCACCCTCCCGAGGGGAGTCACAGAGCAGAAAAATCATATGTGCTTCAGGACCTATCACAGGGGGTAAGCTCTTGGGGAATTGGCCTTCAATGATGAGGCTGGTCACATATCCCAAACATCTCTCAAGTAGATGGTGACCAGGTGAGACAATTACCAACCTCCTCCTGCCCTCCCCACCTCCAGGAATGAGGACCATTAGTCCTGAAGTACCCTGTGCAAACGCACACATACATGTGCACATCCACACACATGCACACATACACATAGGTACACATACACACATATATACACATGTGTACATATGCATGCACACACATGCTCATTCACTCCCAGCCTCCAACCTTGTCCATGCCACATTCTGTGCCATCCAGGAGGGGAATGAGGAGACGGCTACAGCTGCTGGGGTCCAGGGGGTCTGTGTGGCAGGAGAGAGCTTGGCACATGTCCTAAGAGGAGACAGGTGCCAGCTGAGGGCCCACCTCTTTGGCATGGCCTTAACTGTCCCTTCGAGACCAAGGGACACCCTAACACAGCTATACACTACTCTGTGGGCACTGGGGAACGGGGAGGAGGAGGCAGGGTCATTCCCAGGGACAGAGACAGTGTTGAAGGACACATACTTTCATGAGTCCACAAAAATATTTTCATTTCTTTTAAGTCAGAAGAAAAAAAATGTCAAAGAAAATGTTCTACTATATATTAAAGTATTTATATTTATCCCAGTGAACGTAAAATTGTATATAGTTTATAAAAATACTGAAAAAGGGTTTTAAATATTTTTTATGGTAGAAGAGGTCCACAAGGCAAAATGTCTGGGGCCCATGAGACTCATATGCAGCCCTGGGAGGAAGCCTGACTTTGGGATGCCCTTTCACTTCCCTTGGCCCTGCCACTCACACTCCCTCTGTAAGGTTCAGCTTCCTCCAGGAAACCCTCCAGGTTGAACGGCAACCCCAGGCTCACTCCTATAGTCCTGCGTCCCCCTTACAGCATGTGTCACAGTGGGCAGCGCCACTGCGTGCTCCGAAGTGTTCCCTCTATGCCCAGGTAAGTGCCAATGGGGGAGTTGCATCTGTGCTCTGGCAGGAGGACTCACCAGGTTCTCCTTGGAGAAGGTGCAGGCGATGGCAGTGCGACCAAAGGCCACGCGGCACTGCTCGTCTGCGCCGTAGTAGAGGCCGGGCTGCACGTTTGGCGGGCGCCCGGCGAGTTCAGGTTGTGGCGGGGGCGGGTCCCACAAGCAGCGCACCCGCCCTGCGCTACTGCACAATCCAGACCCAGATCAGGTCCCGGGTTGTTGGGGTCCGGATAGAGGATAGGCGCGGGGTGGGGTGTGGGCGGATGTGGGGGTGAGGGGAAGAGGTGGGCAGTAGAGTAGACGGCCAGATGTGCTCGGGGGCGAGGGAGAGCAGCGGATAGAGCTTGGGAAGGGGAGGGAGCTTGAGGTTGCCTATGACGCGATTCTCCCACATTGCCCATGGAAACCTCCGAGGCCAGAAGACATTAAGTGGCTCCTCCAGGACGGGGTTCCGATGGGATGGAGGGTGCGCTTGGAGAGGGAATGGGGGACTGGAGGGGTGCGGGCGTAGGATGGGGCGGATAGAGAGGTGCGCGATGGGGCGAGGAGGATGCACCGGTGGGAAAGGGAGCCCCCGCCAAGCCCCCGTCCCGGGCTAGCTGGAGACCTGCGGCTTGTCTGGGCGGGCGGCGCGGGATGACGCGTGGAGCAGGGTGGGTGGGATGATTGGTAAAGCCCTTCCCGATACCTGAGCAGGTGCTGCAGCTGCCGGCGGCTGCAGGCTGACCAGGCGGGCCCCCCGCGGGCCGGCGCTGAGCCATCGGCCGCCATGACTTGGCCGCTGGACCCACAGCCGCTGTCAGGCGCGCCGTCGTGCACTAGGCCGAGACTGCGGACCAGTAGCGCTGAGGATGGCAGCGGGCCATATCGGCCCGGGGGCCACCTCTCGCCTTTTCAGACCCCGGTGCGGTGTAGCTAGCCCACAGCGGACCTCTAATCAGTTTCCCGCCCAGAGAGAGGGCCGGCAGGGAGGATCCTATCTCATTTGTCTTGTTGTTATGCACCGTGGAGTCAGAACCGACTCATAGCAACCCCTCCTTGGGTTTCCGAGGCAGTATCACTACTGAAGTAGATTGCCCCATCTTCCTTCCGAGGAGTGCTGGCAGGTTTGAACCGCCAGCCTTCTGGTTAGCAGTCAAATGCCTTAGGCACTATGCCACCCAGAGCTCCCGAATTCTTTACAATAGCCAGGTATTATTTTCATAATTGAAAAACTAAAAACCAAAACAAAAAGAGCCCCTGCATACATGATGGTGGATATAGGCAAAGGTTCACCCACAAGAATGCATGATGTTCATAACTGGAAAAACCTGGAAACAGCCTGAATGTCCTAGCAGTAGGGGATTAGACTGTGGCACATACCAAAAAAAAAAAAAAAATGTATAAGGCTTGGGGTATATTGTTATATCAAAACCAGGTAACAAAGTGATGTGTACATAATCCCAAATGTGCAAATAAAAAATTGCCTGTGTGTGTATGTGACCAAAAACCAAAACCAAACTCACTACCTTGGAGTCGGATCTGACTTATGGTGGCCCCTCCTTGGGTTTCTGAGATGGTATCACTATGAAAGTAGATTGCCCAACCTTCCTTCTGAGGAGTGGATGGTGGGTATGAACCATCAGCCTTCTGGTTAGCAATCAAATGCCTTAGGCACTACGCTACCAGAGCTCCTTTTGTGAAGGCTGGCTTTAAATATAAAATGTAAACAGATGTTCTAAGTGGTGGGACTTGGGATAATTTTCACAGCCTGGTTTTTCTTTCACTAAATTTCCTACAAAACTCATTTTCTAATTGCTAAATTTATTTTTTGTTTTGTGCATGTCCTCTTCTTTTTGAAGAAATAAAGTTTCTTCGAATCAGTCTGTAATAAAGAAATATCAGTGTTCCCTGCCCTCTCGCCCACCCTTCCACTGGGGTCAATGTTTCCTTCTGGCAGGTTCTGCCAGGGCCCACTGCCTGTCATAGCCTCACCCTGGTGAGGGCCTGGGTCAGCTCCTTTGCCAGAGCTTGAGGACAGCAGGTGGGGTCACATACCTGTGCCCAATCTCATGGGCGATGGTGACCCCCAGGTCAAAGCCTGTGTCCTCGGTGATGAGACAGCTCCAGGAGGAGGAGCAGATACCTCCAAGCTGGGTGACCCCTCGAACCTGCCGGTTGCCATTAGGCAACTCCAGGTCAAATCTTAGGGAGAGAGAAGAGACATGTGGGTGGCACTGAGGGTCTTTCCCACTGCTGTGTCCCCACAGCCAATGGCAGGTTAGCTACCTGGTGATGTAGAGGACCAGGTCAGCGTGCCCAGGGTCTGTGTCATCTGTGGGGTTGAAGGTCCTGCTCCAGTCACAGACACTCAGCAGTGACGAGGTGATGTTGGCTGTGATGTTTGGAGAATCCTGGGGGGTCAGTAACAGAACCTTGTTTTGCAGGATCCCAAGCAAGTACAGGGCTGACTCAAAAGAGTCCTGTTACTATCCCACTCTTGCTATCTCCAGCAAGTCTTGGCTGGAGTGCAGTCCAGGTCTGTCTGACTAACCTTGCTTTGAGGGTTAATTTTATTTGTCAATTTGGCAAGGTGATGAGGCCTAGTGGTTTGGCCAAGCACTAGATTAGCTGTTGTTTCATAACATGATCTAATGTAATGTGATGTCTATACCTTCCATAATGTCATGTGATCAATCAATGAGCAAAAAGGGAGATTTTCCTAAAAGGTTTCCTTTAGGTTTCCGTAAAAGGTGTGGTCTGTCTCCAGACTTTAAATAGACACATTGACAGAATTCCACCTCTGTCTGGATTCTGCACTCTTTCCATCTCCTGGCCTATGGATCTTGGGAAGAGAGCCAACAGGACTCTCCAGCTTGCTGCATGAACTACAGATTTTGGACTTGCAGTTCCATAAGCATGAGAACCAATCCTATGAAGTCAATCTCTCTATACATACACATACATGTCTCACTGGCTCTGTTTCTCTAGAGACACCTGCTATTAACCATGCTGTCCCACAGGAAGACGAGAGAGGAGAAACACTGGCTTCTGGTGACTGGGTCCCAAAATCCAGGTGGGAGCCTACCTTGGGCTCTGTCAGGATGATCATCTTCACCAGGTGTATATGGACCTGAACCCCCAGGGATGGGTCCCTCAGCAATTCTGACCCCTGGAAAAGGACAGATGGAGGGAGGTGACTTCCAAGGGTATGAGGAGGCAGCATCTAGAGAGGGTGCTCCACTCAACGTGAGTGGGTGGGACCCCCAGAACACTAGTCCCCAGACATGCCCATAGCTCGAGAAGGCAGACCAATACAAAGAGAAGAAACTCTGAAATGGCACATGTGATGATCAGTAATGTGGAATGTTCCATTAAAAAGGCTGATCCTCTCGGCCATGTAGTCACCTTTTCCTTCCTCAGCTCTATCCCTCTGTCTGAAACACCTTTCCACTACCTCTGCTGGTTTAATCCCACATACCCTAGGGCTGCCTGCTCCCACCATGAGTCCTTTCCAGGCCAGCAAGGAAGGTTTTCTCTCATTTACAGCTCCCACAGGACATCTGTTGAGAGGCTGGTCATGGTCTGCTTGTGTTCACTGTCTGTGCCAGTTTATCCTCTAAATCAGACACAGTGCCCATGCCTGCAAGAAACTGCCTTATTCCTGGCCTTTACAGACCCAAGTTTGAACCCAAGCTCTGCTGTTTCCTAGCTATATGTTCAGAGCCAGCTTGCTAACTAACGGTTATCTGGGTCTCATTTTCCTCCTCTGTGAAATTAAAAGAAACCCTCTATGCTGTTGGCCAGCTTAGGGACAATGAGCTATAATGTACATGACATGAGGTGGCTGTTCAGTGATGACAATGGCCTTTACCACCACCAGCACCGAACAGGCAGGGGTAGGTCTTCTAAATACCACCAAGTACCTAGCCCTCCTAAAACAGACTGAAGGGCCAGAGGGAGCATGGGCTTGGTTACCAAATTTCAGAACATTAGAAGGGGGAAGGACCCTAAAGCTTGAAACAGTATTTTTACTGAAAAAAGAAGACATCACACCCTGGGCTTGCTGCCTGAAACCCTAAGCAGGCTTACTCTGGACTTGGGCCAAGTCCATATGCAGAAAGGACCAGTGGGTGGTCAGAAAACCAATGACCTAACCAGTAGGAGGCATAGAGAGCCCTTGGGGATGGTGAGGTAGCCTTCAGCTCCCAGACTGGCGAGGTGATGGGGAGAGGAACAGGGGACAAAGTATTACTAAGGACCACCCTTTCTGGTGAGAGCTGCCCACTGCTGGGACCAGCTCTGCCCCCAGGGCCATGCCCACATCACCTCCTCTATTACCTCCCCATCTCAGAAGCAGACAGGGTTATCAGTCATCAGCCATTCCTTTTCCAAAATGTTCCCTAAGTGCCATTTCTATTTATTTGGGATTTACATTTTCTTCAGTGCAAAATTTTTATGTTTCTTCTCTTATATCTAACTTTGCTGGCCCGTGGTTGGTGAATGCCATCTCAGTGACATGACTCCCTTGATGTTTCTGGATGCTTCCCTGAGAGCCCAGAGCAGCCACCTCTGTAGGTGCCCCACATGTGTGTCTCTGGGCGTTGGATGCAGGGTTTAATAAGACCGTTAGGCTAAATTTGATGATAGACTGCAAAATCACCTATTTCTCGGCTGACTTTTTTGGTTTCTTGGGACATAAATCAGCGGAGTGCTGCCCCCTGAACCCCCTTTACTCCTGTGAGGGGGCACAGGGATGGGACACTGCAAGAAGCCAGGGTGTATGTTGAGGCTTCCCACGGGGATGGGAGAATTGGAGAGAAGGTGGGGCTGGGGGCAGAGGGCAGTGGACATCCTGCACCCCAAGCTCCTACAGATCAAATGGCCTTTGTGACGAAGATAGGCTGGGGGGCAAAGGGACCCAAGTGGCAAGAGGCTGTGGGTAAACTATGGAGCTGAGAGGGGGTCCCAGTGAGGGAGGGAAGGAAGAAAAGAAAAATAGCTCACTTCTCTCCCCACTCCAGGGGTCTGAGTTTCAGCTGGACCCCAACATCAGGTTCTTACCCATGTTCAACCTACCGAGGTCAGCCCACCAGATAGAGTGGCTCACTAGTATTTCATCATGAGCCCAGGTGTGGGCACTGCATGCAGAGAGACCATAGGATGAGAGTGGCAGGGCATGGTTCTTGTGGACTGCCCAATGCCCCTGGAGGCCTGAATTTACCTCCCCAGGGACATCAGCCTCCCCCAAGCCCCTTTGTAAGAGCACTCACAATGTTGAGGTTGGTGAGCACATAGCGCCCCGTGTCCTCCTGGTGGGCCTGGTGGACGTCAGGACCCACAGCCACCAGCAGCTCTAGGTGCAGGATACTCCCTGCAGCCCGTATCCATCTCCGGAGATGAGGGGAAGGAAGATAGGCTGTCGGGGGAGGAGGAAAAGCTGGGAGCACAGTTCCAGGAAGCCAGGTCAGCTGGCCAGGACCCAGCAGCCAGCCTTTCTGTCACCCTGTACTCCTGGCCTAGAGGCAAACATATAGGGTAGGAGTCCTGCCTTTGTACTTGACCCTGAGGGACTTAGGGAGTTGGATGGCCTGCTCCTCAGCTTTATTACAGGGAATGGGGAGTGTGAGAAATCTTGCTTTACATGGCAGTGTGGGTTAAAGTATATTCCCCCCAAAAAATATACTAAAGTCCTAATGTGTGGTACCTGTGAGTGTGGCTTTATTTGGATATAGGGTCTTAGTTAAGTTAGCATGAGGTCAGGCTAGTGTAGGGTGGGCTCAAATCGAATATGACTAGTGTCCTATAAAAAGAGGAGAAGACACACGGAGACACAGGGAGCAGGCCATGTGATGATGGAGCCAGAGAGTGGAGGAAGGCTGCCACAAGCCAATGAATGCCAGGGATCACAGGCAGCCCCAGAAAGTAAGAGAAAGACATAAAACATGTGCTGCCCTTGGGCCTCTGAGAGAGTGCAGCCCTACTGACACCTTGAGTTCCGACTTCAGATCCCTAGAACCGTAAGGCAACACATTTCTATGTCTTAGGCTACGCCATGTGTGGTGCTGTGTTGTGACAATCTCAGGACACTCATTCACATGTGACACAGAGCACTGTATGAGGTGGCTCTGTCCTTGAGCCTTGGTGTTCAGTGGCTCTGTGGACTCTTCACCCCCCTCCCACAGCCCCAGACCACAGGAAGCCTGGTCACAAGTGGGGCACCTTCTCATTCTCTCTGCCTGACTGCTCGCATATCTGCCTCTGGTCCCAATATCACCAATGGCCCTACTCTGATAAAGGGAGCCAGTATTTGGAGAAGTCTATAGACAGACTGATAAACAGTGAGGAAAGGCCTTTGCCACAGGAAATCCTGAGGCAAGGGCTGGGGGACAACTCCACTCAGATCTTGTTTCTCACAGAAAGAATAAATATTTATATCTACTTCCAGAGCCTAAAAACCAGCCAGCTCAACCCAGGGCTGGAGGGGTTGACTAATTAGTGGCAATCCCTGGAGACATTTCACAGGGTGCTGGGGCAGGACCCCCCTCAATCAAGATACCAGAACAGCCTTTATCAACTTGGCAGGAAGTAACTGACTTAATGAACAGAGTTCCCACCAGGTCCTTGGAGCCCGGCCTAGGCTCAGTCCTCCAACAGAAGTCACGAGCTAGCCCCCCAGGCTAAGAAGATATCAGGAAAGTACCTTTTGTGGTAGAAGCTGGGCCTAAGCACGAAGCCACCTCCCCTGGCTCTGAAGCATGAAGAAACCTCTGCAAGACACCAAACAACAAATGAGGAGAGGTAGGGAGCAGTGGGAGTGGGAGTGGGGTGGGGGAGATGAGGACAGGGTGAGAACTAAGAGAGGGAGAGAATCTGTCAGAATAGAGAGGCAGAGCGAGCCCCTCACACATTTAGGACAGATGTGTTCGTCTCCAGCCTGATGCACCAACGTGACCGACAAGCAAGCTGCTTGATTCCCCCAGTTCAGCCCCTGAAGCTGCTGGGGTTTGCTGAAAGACCACACTCACCCTCCAGAGTGCTGGTGGACACCACCCTTTGGACCCACCTTTGGACCCCTGGGCTCCTGACCCTGTCGCTCCTGCAAACACACCCACCTGCTGCACATCGGAGAGCATACCCCAACCCAGGAGAAAGACAGCCACTGTAAGAAGGCCTGCCAGGCAGAGACGAGCGTGTCGCCCCCAGCACAGCAGCTCCTGCATCTCAGCAAAGTCCTTTGTCGGAGATGTGCTAGGAGTGACTGGGCCCCTGGACCAAGACAGAGCCTGCTGGGCGGGGCCTTCAGCTGCCTATATTCTCTGGTGGCAACTTGGTCCTGGCTCTGGAATGTTCCTCAGCTCAGCACTCCAACATGGCCTGAGGTTTATAAGGGACAACTCCACCCCTTCGCCCTGGACAGCCCTTCCCTGCACACATTGGCCAGACCCAAACCCATGAAATCAAGTTGATTCCAACTCATAGCAACCTTATAGTGACCCTATATGCATATATATACATACAGTTTATATGTGTATGTGTATATACATACACACACTCACTTGTACACACATATTTACACGTGAAAAATGTATGTATTATATATATATATATTATTAGAGCGAGAAAGAGAGAGAGAGAGAGATTTATCTTAAGGAATTGGCTTACATGATAATATAAAAAACCCGTTGCTGTTGAGTTAATTCCTAACAACTGAGCACTTCACCACTGCGCTATCAGGGCTCCTTCCATGTGATAATCCAAACTAAACCAAACTCACTGCCATCCTGTCAATTCTGACTCAGAGCTACCTGCATTGGATTTCCAAAGCTGTAAACCTTTACGGAAGTAGATTGCCTCATCTACCTCCTGAGGAGCAACTGGTAGGTTTGAACTGCTGACCTTCTGGTTAACAGCCAAATGCCTTATCCACTATCCAGATCTCCTTTGCACGTGATAATAGGGGCTGGCAAATCTAAAATCAGGAGGTCAGGCTGGAAACTCAAGCAAGTTGTCTCTATTACGGTCTTGTAGCAGAATTGCTCTCCCTTGGGAAACCTTTGATTTGACTCTTAAGGTCTCCCACTGATTGGGTCAGGCCCGCTCACATTGTGGAGGGTCACCTGCTTACTTAAGACTGATTTCATCACACATGATGACTTCATAACAGTGTCAAAACTAGCGTGTGCCATTTCCCTTCACACTTTCTAAACTATTGTTTATATCTTCTCATATCGCTAGGCCCACCCCCAGCCTTGCTCTCATCTGATGCCAAGCAGGGGGATCACCTACCTGCCTCACCCCTCCTCCTCTTCCTGTGTTACCAGGAGGGGCAGAGCTGTCTTAACTCACGCAGCTTGGAATCCCCTCCTCTTCTCTCCCCTTCCCAGACTTTCTCCTGCACCACTAGTCTCCATCCTCCACTGGATTCATTCATTCTTTCCTTCACCCCACAAATATTGGGTTGAGCCCTACAGTGTGCCAGGTGCTGTGCCAGGCATGAGGCATGCAACGTGAACAAGTAGACAACAGCCTTTGCCTCCTCGGTACTAACATTCCAGTGCAGAGTGTTGGATAATTAACTGATGAAATGCGTAAATCACATAGTATTATGGATTGAAGATAGGAGCCTTAGTGACACAGTGGTTAAAGCACGCAGCTACCAATCAAAAGGTCAGTGGTTCAAACCCATCAGCCACTCCACAAGAGAAAGAAACTGCAAACTCTTTCCATGAAGATTACAGCCTTGAAAACCCTATGAGATCTATGTAGGAGATCCTGGATAGAATGGAAGAACAATGTGGAACAAAACTCAAAACCATTAAAAAAAAAAAAAAAAAGGGACCAGGTTTGCTGGTCTGATAGAGTCTTGTGGAACCACTGAGACTATGGCCCCTAGCTGCCCTTCAGGTATGGAATTGAACCCACTCCTGTGGCTTCTAGCCAAATACATTCAGGCATGTGAGCTGAACATTTACATTAGGTAGAGCTCTGGTAGCCTAGTGCCTAAGGCACTTGACTGCTAACCAGAAGGTTGGTGGTTCAAACCCACCAGCCACTCCTCGGAAGGAAGATGGGGCAATCTACTTCCGTAGTGATACTGCCTTGGAAATCCAAGGAGGGATCGCTATGAGTCGGGTCAGACTTTACGGCACATAACGATAACAACAACAATAACAACAGATACACTCCTTGGAGAGAGCACTCATGGGAGAATAGAAGGGCTGTGTATGCACAGGGAGACAGGTCAGGGAGCAGGAGTGAATGGGAGGGAAGTACACAGGGAGGAGGTGGTTACAGGAAGGAAGTGGGAGGAGAGCTATTGCATCGTGGAAGACTGCAGTCAATGTCATGAGACAAAGTGTATGGGAACTGCTGTATGGAAGATGAATTTGCACTGTAAACTTTCACCCAAATCACAATAAAATTTTAAAAACAAAAAACCCTATGAGGCAGTTCTACTCTGTCCTACAGGGTCACTGTGAGTCAGAATTGACTCTCAGCAGTAAGTTTGGTTCTGATATGGGTTGGAGATGTTCCCAAAAAAAGACAATGCTTTAGTTTCAACCCTGTACCTGTGACTGCAACCTTATTTGGAGATAGGGTTTTTGCAGACGTTATCTATTCAGTTAATATGAGGTCATACTGGTGTAGAGTGGGACTTAATATAATATTGCATTGTCCTTGTCCTTACAAGAAGATGAGACACAAAGATACACAGAGGGAAGGTGGCCACAAGAATATGAACACACACATTGACTGAAGTGATGCTACCAGAAATCAAGGCTCACTGGCCGTCAGCAGGAGCTGGGAGAGAGGCAGGGACAGATTCTCCCCAGAGCCTCAGAAGGAACCAACACAGCCAAAACCCTGATTAGGACTCCAGCCTCCAGAATAGTAAGACAGTACATTTCTGTGATACTTTGTTACCATAGCCCTGGGAAACTCAGACATATAAGTATGTTTGAGGGAAAAGCATGCAATGGAGAAAATAAGGCAAGATAAAGATATAGGGGACAGGTGGGGAGGAACAATTTTATGTAGGAAGATCAAGAAGGCTCTTGGAGAAGATAGTGTGCTTGGATGCCCAGACACAAGTTACTGGATGTCCATATACACAAACTCTGGTGTCTCTTGATTAAAACCAACAAGGAGAAGCCACATCTATGTTGTTACCAGGCCTGGCCTTGTGCCCTGAGCACAGCAAGTGCTTCATTATCATCATCCTCATCAGTGGATATTGCTGAAATTCCTTTGCAGCCCTATGGACCTTGGGTAAACTAACTTGTTGTGGGACATGGGGTAAATGAACTCCTTCCCATCCCTGGGCCTCAGTTTCCCCCTTTTATGATGAAGATGAGGGTCCCTCACTTCAGACTTGCTGAAAGGTAAGCTTGTGTCAAAATAAACAACTCAGAATATCATTAACAGACTGCATATGCATTTCAGGAGGTAGCATATGACCAAGAACCAATAGTATTGAAGGAAGAAGTCCAAGCTGCACTGAAGGAATTGGTGAAAAACAAAGCTCCAGGAATTGAAGGAATATCCATCAAGATGTTACAACAAATGAATGCAACACTGGAAGTGCTTAGTCATTTATGCCAAGAAATTTGGAAGACAGCTACCTGGCTAAGCAATGGGCATATACCCATTCCAAAGGAAGGTGATCCAACAGAATGTGGAAATTATTGAACAATATCATTAATATCACATGTCAGTAAAATTATGCTGAAGATAATTCAAAATTGGTTGCAGCAGTATATCAACAGGGAACAGCCAGAAATTCAAGCTGGATTCAGAAGAGGATGTAGAACAAGGGATGACATTGTTGTCAGATGTCAGATGGATCTTGGCTGAAAGCAAAGAATACCAGAAAGACGTTTACTTGTGTTTTATTGACTATGCAAAGGCATTTGACCTTATGTATCATAACAAATTATGGATAACATTGTGAAGAATTGTAATTCCAGAACACTTAATTGTGCTCATGAGGAACCGGTATAGAACAAGAGGCAGTCATTCAGACAGAACAAAGCTCATGGTTTAAAATCAGGAAAGGTATGCATCAGGGTTTATCTTTTCACCATACTTATTCAATCTGTATGCTGAGCAAATACTTCGAGAAGCTGGACTGTATGGCTATATGAAGAACACTGAAGGAAGACTCATTAACAACCTATAAATGCAGATGATACAACCTTACTTGCTGAAAGTGAAGAAGACTTGAAGCACTTACTGATGAAGATCAAAGACTAGGCTTCAGTATGGATTACACCTCAACATAAAGCAAACAAAAATCCTTACAAATGGACCAATAAGCAGCATCATGATAATGGAGAAAAACTGAAGTTGTAAAGGATATCATTTTACTTGGATCCACAATCAACACCCACGGAAGTGAAATCGGACCAAACATGGGTCCCTGCCCAGTGCGCAGTCAGGCCAAAACAGTTTACACACCAAGTGATTAAGAGGAGAGAAAATTATTTATTGCAAAGTGGCAATGCAAGGAGATGGGGGTCTTCACCCAAAATTGACTCCCCAAATCTAAATTGAATTATAGTTTTTATAAGTTTCAGGAGAGAAGGTCATGCATATTCATAAAAATTTCAGGAATTTGGGCATGAAATAGTTGATGATTGGACGAAGTTTCTTTCACCTCGGTTTAAAGGGACAGTCCTTTTTAATGCAGTGCGCTTGCGCACCTGATGAGTCACACCGGCTTCCTGATGATTGGGGCTTAGCAGAGGTGAGAATGTCAGTTCCCAGCAACTATGTTCCTGTTTGCCTCAATGCACATGTCCATGGGCCAAAGTTAATTTTCAAGTTGTCTTCTGAGACATATTAACATGCTTATCACCTGTTTCTAGGGGAATAGCAGGAAAGAATGTCCAAATTGGCTTTTTGTTCCATTCAATTCTTAAGGGACTGAGTTATTGTGTTTATTCATTTGTCTCCAACTGAGGTCCTATTTGTTTTAACCAGGGTGGGGAAACAATTGAGCTTTGACTACTCGGTTTCAGAAGCAGCAGTCAAGAAATCAAACAACATATTGCATTGGGCAAATCTGCTGCAAAAGACCTCTTTGAAGTGTTAAAGAGCAAAGATGTCATTTTGAAGACTAAGGTGCACCTGA